CCCTTGATTTAATCAAACAAAATTGGGAGCAGATCACCCAGGATGACCCACAAGATGTTGTGACATATATAGACTCTTTAAGGAATGACCTAAAGAGAAACCTAGAGCTAGCAGCAGAGACCCTGCAAGCTCAAAAGGTCAGAAAGAAAGCTTGGGATGACCAGAAAGCCAGGGAGAGGCACTTTGACCAAGGGGAGGAAGTGCTTTGGCCTAGGCCCTGCAAAGAGAACAAACTGCAGCTGGGTAGCCCAGAAATAAAATACTTGGGTCACATAGTAGGGGGAGGAGTGATCAAACCCCTAGAGGCCAAGATAGAAGCAGTTCGTGATTGGCCCAGACCCAACACCAAGAAAAAAGTCAAATCATTTATTTTTCCCTGTGTGTTATTTAAATAAACCTTATTCCTTTATTTGTTAAAAATCCATCCCTGGTCTGTGTGACTTCTTATAGGGAATGGTTGGTGGCAGCTTAGTGAAACTGTGGCATATCCCAGTAGGTCTGGGGTTGTCACAGTAACGTTTCGCCAGTCTCTGTGGCTGGCATCTTCAGAGGACAGCACTCTGTGCTCTGGTGTAGTTGGCTTGGGAGTTGAGTATTTACAGCTGTTGGATCAGCTTTTGTCCTTTTCAGGAGATGGGTGATTATGGTGATCAGGGTGTTTTTGTTATGGGTGTATTGTTGTGATAAGGAGGAGAGATTATCTGTCTCTGATTTCTCTTTCCCTCTTCAGAAGCAGAACAGCCTGTCCAATGAGGTTGAAGACACCAGAAGACGTAGAAGAGTATTTAAGAGTCAAAAGCTCACCCTATCACAGTGCTGTCGTTCTGGGACTGTTCGACTTAAGCATGAAGGAAGGTAAACACTTTGTCTCCAAAGCTTGTCGACAAAGACTGAAATAGCTGGAAATCATCATTTGTTAGAATGACCTTTAAATAGATACAGAAGGTTTCAAATTAGCCTGTTTTCCTTTATGCTAGTCTGGTGTCTTTATTTTACAAACGGGGGGGGGGATGTTGGCAGCAAGGTGTGGCTATGGTCAAATTTTTATGTGCAGGGGGAAGTTACGTGCAAGGGTCGCATCCTTCTCTCGCATGAATAGCATTCAGTCCATCTAATGAAATTGGTTGGGTGAACATTTGGGGCGGAATACAAAGACGGTGCTTCTGGGTTTGATGTCCCATCACCCCACGGCGGCAGAAAGGAGAAGCTGTTTGCAAAAAAACCCAAAATGGTCATAAATCAAGTTACTTTTTTTGGGCAGAGTGTGAAAGTTGTTGGCCAGAAGAATCGCTTTTCTACGCTCCGGTATGAGGCCAACCATCCTTAGGCTTGCCCCCTCCCCCCGTGTTTCCCGACTTCCCGTCTGGGGCTGAGCTCTTTCCTCTTGGCCCAGTCCAAACCTCTTACTCCGTGCTTGAGCCCTTCCCTCGCCCATCTCCTGCATGAGGCTCTGGGGCTTCAGAAGGAGACATGGTCTAGAGGGGCGGGGTATAAATTTAATAAATAATAAATAAATAAGTAAACAACAACAACAACAACAACAACAACATCATCATCATCATCATCATCATCATAAAAATAAGGCAGAGGTGTATATGTAAAGGCATGAGGGTTTCTTAAAAATCAGAAACATCGAATCATAGAATGATTGTGTGGGAAGGGGCCTCTAAGGCCATCCAGTCCAACCCCCCCCCGCTCAAGGCAGGGATCGAACCCAAGCATACCTGATAGATGCTGGTCCGATTTTTGTCTTGAAGGCCTCCAGCATTGGAGCTCCAGCTCCAGCATCAACCTCCCCTTGAGGTCATGGGTTCCATTGTCATGTTGCTTTAACAGTTAAGAAGATTTTCCTGAGAGTTAGCCGAAATCTGGCTTCCTGATGCTTGAGCCCATTATTAGATGTCCTGCGCTCTCCGACGATCGAAAACAGATCCTGCCTCTCCTCTGTGTGACGCTCAAGTAGTTGAAAAGTGCTATATGGTTGGACAGTGTCATCAAAGCGACCAACATGACTTTGACCCAACTCCGGGAGGACAAGAGGGCCTGGCGTGCTCTGGTCCATGGGGTCACGAAGAGTCGGACATGACTTAACAGCTAAACAACAACAACATCATATGTCATTAACCAGAAGGGAATGTGTTACCTGGAAGTTTGTAAACAGCCGGTGGTTTACATTGGAAAAGAAGAGTGGTTTGTTATCTCCCTTTGGGGAAAGAGCCCCCATGCCTGGCCAGACAGCCCTGGGTTGTTTACTCTGGATGGCAGCACCGGTCCGGGATCTTGGGCACAGATCTCAAGCCGTTTTTCTCCTCACCTCTTGCCTGAAATCAGAGCTTAGAAAAATCCTAGTGGCCTTTTTGGCTGGAGTTGTGGGAGTGGGGGAAGGTAGGCTTCATGAAGTTATTATCCAGGGTTCACTTTTCTGAGCGATGCCTCAGATTTCTTTAACTGAAAACAGCCGAGAATGAGCCTGAGAACCTCAGCATGCAGAGGATTGATTGATTGATTGGATTTCTATCCCACCCATCTAGACCAAAAGTCTACTCTGGGTGGTTTACAAATTTAAAAAACAATAAAACCAATTAGTGTATCTTCTAGATCCAAGGTGGCGAAAGCATAAGAAATTAAGATATGGCAGAAGGGAAAGCCTGCCCAAATATCCAGGTTTTAAGTTTATTCTTGAAGACACCCAGGGAAGGAGCCAGGCGGATCTCCACGGGAAAGTTGTTCCAAAGGCGAGGGGCCACCACTGAGAAGGCCCTGTTCCTCGTTAGGGACTTCTGTCCCTAAAGGTATCATAGCCATAAGCGTAATTTCATGCCATCACGTTGACTCCAATCCCACTTTTTCTGGGTATACAGTTCTCAGAGGCGGTTTACTTGTCCTTTCTAGTGGCACTCTTGGGCCATTGTACAGCTTGCCCAAGACTACACAGGCTGTCACTTGCCTCCTGAGAGGGACAGTGGAGAATGGAACTCCCGTTCTCTGGTTCTGCAGCCAGAGTTTCCAGCTCACTGAGCCTTTGTATTCCAACACATCTGGAGGGCACGGGCTTAGAAAGGGCTGACGTGTATAGATTTATTCATTAGAGCCTGCCGCATTTGCTTTTCTGACCTCTCACAGCTGTATGGATGTCTCTGTAGCCATCTGATGTATGTAGTAGGACCTCCAGATTTGTGGGAGCAGTCCTTGCTGATCCATTTATCCATAGTCTGTTTATCCATAGTCTGAAAATAAAAAAAAAGACAAAAAACTATAAATATATATATGTCTTAAGATAAAGTTACAAGAACTGGCCGCTAGAGGGAGCCAGAGATCATACTACAGATAGCGTTTGCTAGAGAAAGATAGCATTTCTATGATATCAATGCCAGAATTGGCCACTAGAGGGAACCAGACACCATGCTAAGTATGGTATTCACTATTAAAATACTATTCACATAATCTGTATTTTTCAGCATCCATAGGGGTCTTGGAACTGATCCCGTGTGGATACGGGGTGGTGGTGGTGTTTCTACTTGAAATCTCATGTATTTCACACTCTACTTATTTTGCTACGTTTGCTTACATTCACTGATAGCTATGTTTGCTTACATTCACTGTCTTGATAGCAAAAGAAGCCTTCATTGAAGCTGCAAGAGTCCTCAATGGAGATGTTATGATGGGGATCTACTGTGAAGAGGATGCCACCATTCTGTAGGTTCTTTCCCTCCTTGGTTTGGATTCTGCTGGGGTGGCTTGGTTGGTGGTTGAATGCCAGGACCAAGCATGGCATGGACACTCCCTCTTACTTTTGTGCAAGAAAGAGAGTCTCACCACAGGCTTGTCCGTAACTATGAGTTGAGTTGCCAGGAGCAGGTTTCTGCTCACCACTGGTGAGCTAGCATGTCCATGTGTAGAACCTTCTGCTTTGTTCTAGAGAAGGAAAGGGTTTTCACACGGAGGGAAGGCTGGGAAAGAATCTTCCCTGAGAACCTGTACATGTAATCAATGGGTCAATCAATTAAACCCACTTGCCCGTGACTTTAATACGGTGATAACGGATATTTTTTTGAAAATGTGCCTTTTTCTGTTCTCCGCAGCTCCCAAAATTACAATCTGCCCCTTCCAGGACTAGTGCTGGTGAAGTCTGAAACCCAGAAGAGGCATCATATCTCCCTCTCAGAGTACAGCCCGGGGCACATTATTGAATCCATCCGCCGTGGCTTACTGGACGTGTTTGTGAGTGTCATTTCTTTTTCTGTTCCAAAGGAAATGTGACTTATCTCTTGGGTTTGCCAAAGAACTGGCTGAGTGAGAGAAGAAAGGTCCCACTCGCCATGCGAGTCAGATGATTCTGGGACCTGTTGTTCAAAAATGGAACCTCTTGGAGCACTATAAGTAGTCTGGATAGCTCACTGGGTTTGGTCCCTGGCTGTGGAGCCAGAGGTTGGGAATTCGAGTTCTGACAGTGCCTCCTCGAGGAAGAACCAGCCTGCGTGGCCTTGGGCCAGCTGCACAGTTCCAGGCCACCCCTAAAGGAAGGAAAGGACGAACCACTTCTAACTTATCCTTTACTTCAAAAACCCTGGAAATACTTCAGGTCCCACAGGCCACCTAGAATCCCCTCAGGCAGACTTCTGGGGCTGGGAGAGAAGAAAGAAGAAACCCAAGGGAGGTCTTACCACCACCGTTGTTGGCTTCACTACACATGCTTCGTCTGGGAAGTGAAAAGGGACAGCCGCACAGCCTCACTCATGGCTCGTTGGGAGGCTGCTGTATTTTTCCATGTATAAGACTCTCCATGTATAAGACGCCCTCCACTTTTCTAACCCAAAATTAAGAAATCCAAGTGGGGCTTAGCAAGTGTAGGGGGAAAAGGATCAACGTGCTGCAAGAACAATTTGATCCCTGCTTTCCCCTCCACTTGTTTTTGTACTCTCCTTGGCTTACTTCCGTGTATAAGACTACCCTCAATTTTTAGTCTAATATTTTTTAGATAGTCTTATACAAGGGATGTGGTGGCATTGTGGGCTAAACTGCAGAAGCCTTTGTGTGCTGCAGGGTCAGAAGACCAGCAGTCGTAAGATCGAATCCATGCGACGGAGTGAGCTCTCGTTGCTTTGTCCCAGCTCCTCGCCAACCTAGCAGTTCGACAGCATGCAAATGCAAGTAGATAAATAGGGACCACCTCGGTGGGAAAGTCATGGCATTCCATGTCTAGTCACACTGGACACGTGACTGCGGAAACGGTCTTTGGACAAACACTGGCTCTACGGCTTGGAAATGGGGATGAGCACCGCCCCCTAGAGTCGAACACGACTGACTAAATGTCAAGGGGGACCTTTACCTTTACCAATAGTCTTATACACGGAAAAATACAGTAATTCATTGAGAAGCTTCCTGTATAGAATCCAAGGGCTGGTGAGATCATAGTAAGATTATTATCAAGAGTTAACGCTTGCCATCTCTCCTTGCCGTGTAGCTATGAAAACGGCAAGCGTCTGTCACCATTTTTTCTGTACTTAAATTCACCACATTTCTTTTTCTCTTCTCCCAGCCGGAAATCACCGTGGGAAACCTCCCGGCTTACTTCCAGCGGGCGAAACCCCTGCTCATGTTGTACAGTGATGGGCCTTTGGGGGAAAGGGTCGCGGGGGAAATGAGGCGCGTGGCGGAAGGCGAACACCGGGAGGACTTCGTTGCCTGCTGGCTTAATCTGTAAGCACACTGGGAGGTGCCCATGCTAACTTCCCTTGAGAGACAAGAGGGGCAGAATGCCGGGAGGACTTCGTTGCCTGCTGGCTTAACCTGTAAGCACACTGGGAGACAAGAGGGGCAGAATGTGGGATTCTCGATTTCCAACTGGTTTGCTTGAGTGGGAGTTTTGTATCTCTGCACTAGTTCTGTCCTAGGAAATGTTAGCCAGCCTCATTTTCAAGTAAGGTTTAAACAATGAGATTTTATTCCATGCTGTAACTGATGTATCTTCTGTTTTCCAACTGAGCCTGGAGGGGACTAGTAATTATCTGTAACTTCTTACCTTTGTTTAATAAGTAGTGTAACTATTAGTTGTTAAGGACTAGTGTAACTAGTAGTTTCAAAGTTACTTTTTAGGTGTAACACTGACATGATCGAAATGCAATGACCATTTTGGTTTTTTTATTTCCAAATGTTTCTTTTAAAGAGCAACTTTAGACCCAACAGGACAGGAATTTTTCAAGTTTTATGCCATTCTCTGGGGGAACTGGAGAGTACGGTCCTACACGTTCTCGGCCTGTTGGTAACAACAATGCAATTTGTTAGTAAAGACAAAGTGACAGATTCCTTGCATGATTAACCTTAATGATGACGGGAATCTGGCTGAACAACTGCCGCATCTTGAATAAAAGCAGAGGAGGCTTGAATTTCGGTCAGTTTTCAAATTCACTCATTTAGAACAGTTAGGATCAGCTGCACGATGGTGAACCATAGAATTATAGAATACAGTGGTGCCTCGCCTAATGACGATAATCCGTTCCAGGAAAATCACCGTGAAGCAAAAACATTGTAAAGCGAAAATAAAAATCCCATTGAAATGCATTGAAACCTGTTCAATGCGTTCCAATGGGGTAAAAACTCACCGTCCAGCGAAGATCCTCCATACGGCGGCCATTTTCGCTGCCTGTATACTGAGGAATCCGTCCCTAAACACAGCGGGGATCCATTTTAATCACCCAGCGGCCATTTTGAAACCGCCAGTCAGCTGTTCAAAAAACGTCATTTTGCGAAGAATCGGTTCCCGAAGCAGGGAACCAATCATCGCAAAGCGAAATTCCTCCATTTAGGAGAAAGATCATCATTAAGCGGATTCATCGTAATGCGGAGCAATCGTAAAGTGAGGCACCACTGTAATTGAGTTGGAAGGGGCCTATAGGATCATCAAGTCCAAACCCCTGCTCAACGGAAAAACCCAAATCAAAGGATATCTGACAAGAGGGTGGTCCAAGTTTCTCTTGAGTGCCTCCAGCGTTGGAACACTCGTTGCCTACAAGGTAAATTGGTTCCATTGTCATACTGCTCTAACAGTAAAGAATATTTTTTTTCCTGATATTCAGCTAAAATCTGGCTTCCTGTTGCTTGAGCTCATTATTACGTGTCCTGCACTCTTGGATGATTGGGAACAGATCCTGCCCCTCCTCTCTATGGCTATCTTTCATGTATTTGAAAAGTGCTCTCCTATCTCCCCTCAGTCTTCTTTTCTTGAGGCAAAACACGCACACTTCTTTCAGTCATCGTGAACCGATTCGAGAAAAGTGGGTGCATTTATCCCACTCTTTGGGTTTGCTTCCAGTGTATATGAAATTTCAACATTGTATTGTGTTTCGTAATCCGAGTAGTTCGGTTATAATGAGAATGTATCATTTTCAGAATCCAGGGCAAACACCCTGACCATCATTCTTTTGCCGTTCAAAGCAAACCGGAATACTTCTCGGCGCGGATGTACTTGACAAGGATCTCGGTTCGAGCTCTTTTTCAACGATAACAACCTGCTTCCATTTTCCTAGACCGCGTTGCTCCTGATCTGCTGTTTTGTTTTGTTTTCTTTTCAAACGCAGCAAGAACACCCCGGTGGGCTGGGGAATCCTGAAGACCTATTTTGGAAGCCCTCTCCCGCCTTTGCCTCTCCTCCTCTGGATCAACCTCCATTCTGGAGGCGAAGTGTTTGTTTTCCCGTCGGATCGATCTCTTTCTGAACCCGACATCCTAGCTTGGGTCAAGAAGCTGGAGTCTGGCCAAGAAGCTCTGGGCGGTAAGCGTGCAGCGGCTGGCCCCTTATCCTAGGAGTCGGTTGGCCTCTCCCTTTTCTCATGTTCTGTCCTTCCGACACCCTCAGGGTAGAGGTTGAACCAAACAAGTACAAATAGTGCTGGGTCATGAAACGCCTCGGAGTTTTCCAAACTGGGTTTATGCATTTGGCAGAGTGCTCTGTTTGCAGTATCTGAGCACAAAGTTTCTCTTAAATCGCTGCCGGCATCTGGCGACTCCTCCAACTTATTGAGAACTTGGCTTCTTTCATGGGAAAATTAGGTCCACCCGGGGAAATTTTAACTCCTCACCCACGGCTGAAGAAGAGGCTATGGAGGTCATCAAAACCAGTCGCCAAGGAGGGGAAATGGGGCTGTGAGTTCAAGTGCCGACACTCCTTGTAGGAATGGGTGAATCCCTGAGTGAAAGGGATCACGTGGATTTGCTTTTTGCATCTGAGTGGAAAAAGAAAAGTAAACCACGCCGGCCATAACGTAGAATCGAGGAAATGTCCCACTCACACAGCAGCCCCTTGTGCTAATTCCCCAACCAAGCAGCATTGCGCTTCCCAAGTTTCTAGTCCTTAAACTTCAACAGGTCCCAGTGAACTGCAGGGCATGAAAGCTTTTGCCCAGTAAAATATGTTAAGTCTTTAAGGTACGGTGGCTTTTGTGTAACAGGTTTGTTACCCGTTACATTTGTGTAACGGGTTCGTTACACAAATGCAACAGTGGATGACCGCTAGTTAACGAGTTGCTCATGCTTCTATCCCTCATTGTGCCAACTCACACAGCTGGCACAAAGGAGGGATGTAAATGGCAACTTGAAAAGAAAAAGAAAAAGCTGTGTGGTCCTCGTACACAATCCGAAGGCAAGGGTATCTTTTTTTAATCATCATCTGCCATCAAGTGAATTCTGATCCATGGTGACCCTTTTCAAGGTTTTCCAGGTAGAAGAATTCCCTTCTTCTGGGGTGTCCTGGGACTGCGCAGCTGGCCCAAGGCCACACGGGCTGGTTCTTCTCCCTGGAGTCCCGGTGGGGGATCGAACTCCCAACCTCTGGCTCTACTAAACCACTGAGCTATCCAGCCAGGTACCTTTATTAGATCACTAAAACACTGCTGGATAGTTCAGGGGGTTAGGTATCCAGCTGTGGACCCAGAGGTTAGGCGTTCAGTTCCTCACTGGGCTTCCTTGAACGGGGCTGGACTGGATGACCCACAGGGTCCCTTCCCGCTCTGCAGTCCTAAGGTTATTAAATGAACGCTAGTTTTCGATCTGGTACTTCGCCAGGCTGGGCGTCAGGGATCTGTGGCTGAGGCAGAAAGAAACATAACGGTTCTGAAAAATCATGAGAAGATGTGTAGGCCAGTTTCTGTCGTTAAAAGCGAATTTCAAACTGAACCTGTCAAAGGTGCAAATTTCAGACCTGATCTACGCCATTGCTTGACTTACTGAGTATTCAAACCGTCAAATATACAGTGATGGTTGGATAAAGTTACTGTTTGAAGTAAGCAGCTGGTGACCAATAATAAGAGAGAAATGAAGTCTCTCCTGGACAGGACGGTAGAAAGGAAAGTTTTGTTTATGGGATGAAAGTTGAAGAGAAATGAGAAATTTAGCATGATTTAACCACAAGAGGGTGATGGAACATCAGGCTTTCTTACTGTGCACAGAGAAGAATGAGGTTTTTTTAGTTTGTATTCTCACTCTAAGAGTGCCATTCTTACATCTGTTCAGAGCTTGGAAAAGTTACTTTTATGATGAGAACTTCTGGGCGAATTCCCCAACTGACATGACACGGATCACGAAGGACAACTGGATTACTTCTTACAAAATGTTCCACCAGCAGCCATGTTGGCTAGCGGATTCTAGGAGTTAGAAGCAATAAAGTAACTTTTCCAGACTTTCTATCTATTCAGATGATGCTCCTAATGAAGTGCTTAATTAGGTGCTTTAATTAAAGATGGGTTGAATGGGGAGAAAGCTAGTAATGGATACATTTAATGGTTGCTTCTGCTTTACTGAATCTCCTGCACTTAATTCAGGTGGATTTGGGGATGTCCCTTTCCCTTCTCAAATTATTGAAACTGAAAAGTCAAGTAGGGCAAAAACATGAGAATTCCAGAATCATCGAATAAGAAAACATGAGAATTCCAGAATCATCGAATAACAGAGTTGGAAGGCGCCTATAAAGCCATCAAATCCATCCCTCTGCTCAATACTCGATACATTTAATGGTTGCTTCTGCTTTACTGAATCTCCTGCACTTAATTCAGGTAGATTTGGGGATGTCCCTTTCCCTTCTCAAATTATTGAAACTGAAAAGTCAAGTAGGGCAAAAACATGAGAATTCCAGAATCATCGAATAAGAGAGTTGGAAGGGGCCTATAAAGCCATCACATCCAACCCCTTGCTCAATACAGGAATCCAAGTCAAACCAGATCTGACAGATGTTTATCTGATTTTCTCTTGAATGCCTCCAGTGCTGGAGCGCTCACCACCTCCCAAAATCATCGGTTCCATTGTCGTACTGCTCTAACAGTAAAGACATTTTTCCCGAGAGTCATCCTAAATCTGGCTTCCTGTAACTTGAGCCCATGGTTGCGTGTCCTGCACTCTGGGATGATCGAGAACAGATCCTGCCCCTCCTCTGGATGACAGCCTTTCAAGTATTTGAAATGTGTTCCCCTCAGTGTTCTTTTCTCAAGGCTAAACACACCTAAACCACCTTTTGGGGGAGTGACTCTCACCGCGAAGAGTGAGGTTTTCAGCTTGGGAGTCCATCTGGATCCGGCGCTCACCATGGAAACCCAGGTGGCATCAGTGGTCCGCTCCGCCTATTTCCATCTTCAACAGATTGCCCTATCTTCAGATTGATGCGGAAGCTTCAAAGGGTGCAGAATGCGGCAGCCTGACTTCTCACTGGGGTGAGAAAATATCAGGATATTTCCCCCACTCTGGCCGCCTTGCATTGGCTGCCCGTTTGTTTCCGCATTGATTTCAAAGTGTTAATGATCACAAATAAAACCCTAAATGGTTTAGGACCTCAAGATCTAGCGGAACGCCTCCTCCCACCTAGATTTTACATGAATCACTCATTCTAGCCAGGAAGGGCGGCTGAGCAGCCTAACGCCGAAGGAGGCCTGGAGAGAAAGAACAAGAAACCAGGCCTTCTCGCCAGCAGCTCCTCAACTCTGGAACAATCTGACCCCAGAGATCTGTCTGGCTTCCTCACCGCAGAGAAAGAACAAGAAACTGGGCCTTCTCGCCAGCAGCCCCTCAACGCTGGAACAATCTGCCCCAAGAGATCTGTCTGGCTCCCTTGCTGTGTGTTTTTAAGAGCCAACTTAAGACCTTGCTCTTTAGACAGGCTTTCCTTTCTGTCATCACTTGAATATTTTTTCCCATCTTGAACTATATTACTACTGTTGTTTTTTATTTTATCATATTGTTTTAATTTTATCTATTATTGTCGGTCGCACAAAATGCAACTTATCTACTCTTTGCTGCTTCTCAAAGTCACACCACTGCAACTTTTTGTACAACCTTTCTGTGATGATCCCTATGGCAATGTCATCATTACAAAACAGGTGGTGTGTGTGTGTGTGTGTGTCTTATCAAGTCACATCTGACCCACAGTGATCCTAATAGTGCCACCTCCCCATGGGGAGTTCCCATGGGGGAAGCGGAGATTTAAACTCGGGCCCTTCTTCCAATTGAAGAAGTGCCAGCTCATGGGGAACACCAGAGAGCCTCTGTGCGCCGCTCACGGGCTCCCCAAATGCTGGAGGAAACAAGCTGCTGGTCTAGATCACAAAGATTGGGGGCCGTGAACATAGAGAGCTTCGTTTGCCAGAATTCCCTTGCAGAATTGGAGTGACAGACCAAAACATAGGGAGCGCTAAAAGTAGGATTCTGGGCCTCGTCGTCCACAGACTCAAATGTTTCCCATCTCTGCTTCTTATGTCCTTGGGGAGCCTCTGGCCAACAGAGCAAACCGCCGGTTGACTTGTTTCTCTGCTTTCTTCCTTCTCTGCAGCCACTCTCTCTGGGGAAGAATGGAGGCCACGGCTTCCCGCCTATGACTTCCTGAGAAAGATGGCGCCCACACTGCCGGAATTTACGATTTACAGCGGAGGGAGCATCCGTAGCCACCGGGAGGAGCTGGAGGTCTCCGGAGGAAATCAGGCGAGGGCCCCCACGAAGAAGGAGCCCACGGAAGGAGGTGCCACGGAGGCCGAAGCGGAGAAGGAGCCACCGAGGGGAGGGGACTTGCGAGGGACAGCTCCTCGGCTGGGCGCCAGGGAGAAGCAGACCAAGCGCCACGTGGAGCTGTGACGCTCCCCGGGAACGCCACGTCCACGGATGGTTCTGACAGCCGGAGTCAGGGAGGCGGGAGGCCTCCTCCCAGCTCCATCGCCTTTCCTTCATCGACTGGGGAAGGTCGAGAGATGAAGCTCCCCGTTCTTTAAAATGTGCCGGACCAACAAAGCTGAATAATTCTTGGCCGTGGAAGATATCGGACGGCCGTCGTGACTGGAAGAACAGGAATATGAGAGACTGGGTGGGAAGGAGTTAGACGGGCATGAAGAGGAACGGCTGGGAGAAAATACAATATTGGGATCTTGATGTAGATTTTCTGAGTATGTGTGTGTCTAAATGTGTAGAACAACAACAACAAGCTAATAGTGATACAACATTTTAAGCACGCATGTGCCTGCAGGATGTAAAGGTATTGGCAATTTGTGATTTTTTTAAAGCTCTCAATGAATCTATTCTTAAGGGATGCTCAACCTCTTGCTGCATAGGAGAAGCAAAAAAGCCAAGCAAAGCGTTTAGCAGAAAACACCAGTTTTATATTGCGGTTGCATCTGCCCCTGTGTTTTTTTTTGCTGACGTAGTCATGCGTGACCTGACTCCGGTCTGTTTCCTCAACTGGGCAACCTGCAGATGAGTTGGACTGCCACACCTCCCGTTTTCGTCAGGCACCACGATCAGTGATCATGCTTTGTGGTGGGGGCACTGGTCTAATGCCAAAGCTGGCTGTGGATGATGGAAGCCGTAGTGCAGCACATCTGGAGGACACCTAGAGGAGGCAGGCTGTCATGTGATGGAACTTTTTAATATGTAACACATGATACGAATGAGGTGAATGAGGATTATACATCTTCATGTTCAGGTGTGCTTTTATTTATTATAATTGTTATGTGCCATCAAGCACTCTCCAACATGTCCTGGGCTCAACAGTCTTGCTCAGCTCCTGTGGGTTCCTTTAGGGCAGTGGTCCCCAACTTTGGGCCTCCAGATGTTCTTGGACTACAACTCCCAGAAGCATTCCCCACCAGCCATACTGGCCAGGATTTCTGGGAGTTGAAGTCCAAGAACATCTGGAGGCCCAAGGTTGGGGAACTATGCTTTAGGGAATCTTTCCATCTCGTATTGGGTCCTCCTCTTTTCCTGCTGCTCTCCGCCTTTCCTGGCCTGATTGTCTTTTCCAGGGAATGCTGCCTTCTCCTGAGGTGCCCAAAAGACGTATTATAATAAAAGATCTAAAAGTCCAGAGTTGCATTTCAAATGTTCGCTGCATTTTACAATGTAAGTGCTTTCTGAGTTGGCTGAAGAAGGCATAGATGTCAAAGCAGGAGTCCAGATTTTGGCCCGGCTGGGATTCTGTATGCCTGCCCAGGCTACTAGACTGTTGGTCTACTGCCACAGCTGACCCTGTGGCATCCTGTAGCTGCATTTATACTGCTGTACCACAGAGCAGAATTAGGGACGTGGTGGCGCTGCAGATTAAACCGCAGAAGCTTCTGTGCTGCAAGGTCAGAAGACCTGCAGTCGTAAGATCGAATCCACGCAATGGAGTGGGCTCCCATCGCTTGTTCCAGCTCCTGCCAACCTAGCCGT